CAGGCTAATCCCACAGTGAATCTTGAACAAGGAATACTACCACAACCACATCAATCAGTAGAATGTAAGTAGCATATTATTAACAAATTATTAACAGTACATATTATATTATATTAACAATGTTTATTTTTTTATTTTAGGTACTTCACAACCTGCTTAGGAAAATATTGCCCCACAACTGCCCCCAACACTGCCAAGGCCTATATCTTCACCATCTCTTGCCTTTGCAGAGGAAGTTCAAAGTAATATATAACTTACTTATTAGACAGTATAAAATCTTCAGGCTAGTAGTACTGAGTTTGTTCCGGGAATCAAACCCAAAAATTCTTGCTTGGCAGCAGCACTTGGAACCACTAAACCACGTATTGTGTGTAAGTCTTCTTTCTCCGAATAAATTAAAAGTAATAAAATATACATGAGCCACTCAATGTAAACTCAAGTAGTTAAATATGAATAAATCTTACTTATAGATAAAAATTACATTAATTTTATAAATTTACAAGCCAACTTGTCTGTCTTTTTGGTTCTTGTACACAACTACTAAGTATATTGATTTTGTTGAAAGTTTCATTTATATTTTTCATATTTAAGGTTCTCAATCTTGGAACGACCCAGGGCCATCAACACAACCTCATGTTGCCTCAGCAAATACTGTGACATCTCCGCTTATTTCATTTGTGGAGGTACTAATGGATAGTAAGATAGAACTAATTATTCATGAAGGTGATAATTTTAAATAAATTTGAAATTATTACTGATACGGGCATGCTCACTCCAACTATGATCTCATCTCAAGTCCAAGAAAGTCAACCAGGGCCTGCTTTGTATATTATAGTAATTCAATTTAAAATTAAGATACTACTCACCGTGAATCGCGTTCGTTCCTTCTCTTATGTTGGTAACACGTTAGCGTCGTGAAATAAACTAACCAAGTTTAGGATGACATAGTTACTTAGTCGTCTTAATATTAGAAGCTGTCTATCAAAGTTGTGGTTATTATAGCATCTTTCATATACTTTGACAGTTTGTTTGTTGTGAACTTACGATTATTGAAAATATTAAATTATAATTATAAGTAAAAAAATATGAAGACTAGTTCGTCCCAATTCGATTTGATGGTGACAATTATGGAGCAGTAAATTGAATTTAATTTATTTAGTGTTTAGGGAACATATTAATATGTTGTTGTATATTTTGTAACTAAGTTTATTGGTTTTAGGCATGGAGATCTCAGCAAACCATCCAATAATGCAAGAGTTAGGATGGCTTGTATAAAAAACTGGGAGGAATTAGCTCAATTTTTGAATAGTGATTTTGGGTAGTGGTGATACAAAAAGTACTGAGAAATGGAAGAAGGTACGTCTAAATGATTATTTATTTTTATCTATTTTGGTTTAAACTGGGTTTTGGTTCTCTAATTCTATGAAACATTGAAGTCCGTAGTCTCTGCCTACCCCTCTGGGTGACAGGCGTGAGTGTTTATGTATGTATTTGCTTCAAAAAAAAAAAGCCAACTTGTTTGTCTTTTTGGTTCTTGTACACAACTACTAGGTATATTGATTTTGTTGAAAGTTTCATTTATATTTTTCATATTTAAGGTTCTCAATCTTGGAACGACCCAGGGCAATCAACACAACCTCATGTTGCCAAGAAAGACAACCAGGGCCTGCTTTGTCGGGGCAAACTACACCTTGCCGTGCAAGACCAATTCGTACTCGAGGATCACCTCGAAGACGAGTGAGGCCAGCACACACAGAGCAGGCAGCACAAGGGACTCCGGTTCTCTACACTCACCATATGAAACACAGCAGTGTTAGGCTGCTATTTTACGCTGGTATTCTGTGAGAGCGTGGTCCTTCCCCGGTCGAGCCGACCTATTCGTGCTACAACTATACTACTATTATAGCTGTAGCATGGCTCTACAAAATAATTTAGATTACTTTTCTGTTCTGTTTCAATGTTCTTGTAATTATTAAATTATTGTATTATGTTGTAATTGTAATTATTTAATTAAATTTGTGATAAAATTTAAGGCTGGTTATAAATAAAAGAAAGATTTAAGCTTATTCAAATTTATTTATTTAATCCCTATAGTAACCTTCTTGCTAATTGATCTCTTAATATTCTACCTTCAATTAAATCAGAGGTAGCTTCTCTTTCTGTGTAACTTATTTGATCAGATTCCACCATTCTTTCAAATTGCAGACCTAAAAATAAATCATAATTAATACAAATATTAAGTTTACTATTTATAAGTTAGCTTAATATATTATAGTAATTCAATTTAAAATTAAGATACCTACCTATATTTTCCTCTGTATCCTCAACACCAAAATTAATAATTATATTATGTAACACAGAGCATGCTAAAATAATGTGTGCACATTTTACGGGCTTGTAGTGCAAAACTCTATCCTTGTGCAGACATTGTCATCGATTTTTCAGCCTTGAAAATGTGTTCTCAATAACAACTTGAGCTCTCATGTGTTTTTCATTATAATTATTGGACTCAGTGTCTAAAAATGGTGTCATAAGCCATGGGCGTTGGGGATATCCAGAATCTCCTAGAGTTAAAATATACATGTTATTGTCAATAATATAGATAGAAATTATTTAGTAATGTTTTACTTAAAAATACTTCATATAACTCAAAACATCCCAATAAGTTATACTGTGGATATATTACCTAAAAGCCAGATAATTTCTCCATTTTGGTGCAAAGATTGCATGTATGTGTTTAAATTACTGTTTTCCCATATAAAGGAATCATGATTTGCACCTCCAAACTTGGAATTCACATTTAAAATTCTATATTCATCATCACATACCTGAAAAGAAGACATTTTGTTTATTTTCTACCCCTTTTTAACCAAGCAAAAATAAAAAAACTTAATATTTACCATTTGAACATTAAGTGAATGGTAGTGCTTACAACTATAATACAAATGTTCCTCTTCTTTTGGTGGGGCAACTATTTTAAAATGACTTCCATCAATACAACCTGATTTTATTAACTGAATCTAATGATTAATTTGCATTAGGTTGTTTAAAAATAAGCATATATTTATTATCGTTGACTAACTGCTTGTATAGCAGCTGGAGTATCAGGGAACCGAATATATTTATTTATTATATTTTTGTGTCAGCGCTGGGTAACTTCTTCTATGTACACACTACACATTATTTGAGACGTGTGCTTTGTAACCCCAACTGGCATTTGGTAGGATCCAGTTGCAAAAAAGAATAGAGCAGTGAGCACCTGCAATTAAAAAGAGAACAAACTTATATTTAAACTTGCACTTGTTTTAAACTTGAGTTGCAAAAATGTGAATACTTTAATGATCGATACATACTTTATGTTCCAAGGAAACGCGTTGAGAGGACCTAAGATTTGTCAAACTCCTTAGCTCTTTACACAAAAACTTGAAGACTTTCTTGGAAATGCGATATCTATCTTTAAATTGCTTCGCCGTGAGGTGTAACAAAGGGTTGAAAGATGCACGAGCTCTTCTTTCAACATTGGCGTTATAATTGCGGTCATCTTGTGCCTTAGCGGCTGTAAACATCCTCCATGCGAAAAAAAACGTCCTGCCATAATTAAATATTGTTCACACAAACCGAAATAAAATTAAACCTTCAACAATCGTTCTCACTATGCTTTCTCACTGTCAAAATTTAGGTGAAAACTTTTTCGATATCGACCGCGTAAACTTTATTTATGTTAGATCAAAATTGGAACTCGCACTCGCAAAATTCTTGAAACAACCAATCACGTGCGTTTACGTTCTCGCTGTCGAATGCGAGTGAATCACAGAATACTTTACTCCTAGCGGAGTAAAGTATTCTGTGAATGCTCGATGGTCGATATCGACGACGTAATAAACTCGCACTCATGAACTGTGATTCCGATTATTGCCACTAGTTGGCGCTGATTTTATTCCATACAAATTGTAGTTAACTTTCTCGCTATCGAGCGCGTAAAAAAACTCGCACTAGGCACACTGTATTAGGGTTAATGAAGAATAATATATCAAAACGGAAAAATAATTTCATGTTTAACTTCACCCACTTTCCCTTTCATTCCGCTAACTTGTATGATCTCATAGACTATAGTGAGCTTCCGGTGGTGCAGGTCAGAATAATAAATAAAATGATAGCATAATTGTCAATAACTTTTATTTTAGTTAAACAAAGAAATGTATATATAATATAATATTATATATATTTATTGAATAAAATTATTTCTTATAAACAGAATCTCGTCCATTGCGAGAAACAGCCACCAAGTTCTCAACATAGCCGAAATATGGCAAATTGAATAGATTAGTAAAGGTCCAATTTTTGCTTGGCTTGCTATATATATAAATAACAATTCAATACTGCTTAAAATGCAAAACTACAATCTTCTTTTATTCTAGTTGATCAATTCCAGTAACATCTTCAAATTTTATTATGTTTATCATTTACATCCAAAATCATATAAATAATCTTACGTTTTACAAAATACTATACAGTTCATTAAGGAATAAAAATTGGACCACTCACAATATCTTATTACACCTGGCTAAAACAAATGATTCGAAATCGACATACAAAGTCGTCAAACGAGATATCTATGCTTTATGACATGACCCAATCCTCAAAATATAGTATAAAATATATCACAGCAATTTTAGCCCAAACAGATATTTTTACTGAGAATGAGATCGAAGGAAGAATCCACTACAGGGATAGAAGTAAGCATGTATAATACATTATGGTACATTTTCTCGTCTTATACCAGTCATTTATCAATCTTTCATTGATAGGGAACACTCAAATATTAATATCATTTATTAAACGCTTTATTAGATACAATAGTATAGATTACAAATAGCATTTTACAGGTGGTCAATAAATGGAAATGGGCTATTGTGAGTAGTGACTGGCAACGGATGAGCGTGTGATCGAAATATAGCTTGGCGGGTAATAAATATAGGCGGAAAAATTAGCAGGGCGCACTATGTGGACAGCGCCACTTTTAGCGCTTCCTGATGTTCACTGCTTAGCTGCATGAGGCACGAGTTGAATAATTCAGCATTACTCTGAAAATTAAAATTATAACAATTGATTTTTAAGTAATTCTTTCACGATTGTACAATACGAGCCATTAAAGAATATCATCATAAATGGCAGCAAGTGCTTATTTAAGTAAGGACAACATAAAAATACTATTTCTATTTCTGATCATCACTATAAAAAAACTATTTTGAAATTATAAATTTTATTTTATTAACTATGTATGTAAAATAGCAGCTTAAAACTGCTGTTTCGTATGGTGAGTGTAGAGAATCGGAGACCCTTTTTACTGGAAAAGAGGCATTCCATCTAAGTCCTCACGGGTGACAACGCATCTGCATATTGATTCGCAAATGAGGATAGATATAGAAGTCTATGGTCCACAGCAACCATTTACCATCAGGTGGACTGTGTGCTCGTTTGTAACCCTATCCTATAAAAAAACCGACTTCAAAAAAGGAGAAGGTACGCAATTTGACTGTATTTTTTTTGTGTTACCTCAAAACTTTTTTTTAGGTGAACCGATTCAGACGATTCTTTTTTTTTGCTCGTCGCTCGATTAGCGAACAATCTACAAAAAAAGTAAACGGGAACTGTGGGCTCGTTTGTCACCCTATTCTATAAAAAATGTAATGAGATTAAATAGTACTTGTTTCAGTGTTGTTAATAGGTTATGCAAGTAAATACACCTTATAACTTCTTAAAAGAAGTAAATTTAAATAGTACCTATGATATTAAAATCGTGAAGATAATAAAATGAATTATTGACAACAATAAAACAATTTCCACTAACAAACAATAAAAATTGTATTTTTATACCTTGTTATTGTTATTCAAATAATAAAAATTTCAACCATTCAAACCGATTAAATTAATTATCTAAACATTTTTCCTCACCATACAGAGTGAAACAGAGATGCGAATAATGTGCGAGTGAGATGGCACAACATTGGTCACCATTTAAGATTTTATTTTTTATGGCACAAGTTGTAGTTAAGTCACATATAAGAAACTATGAACCTTTGATTTCAGGTAGGTTGAATGGTTTTTATATATGTGTTATGGACCAAGTGATTATTAAACACTATTTATAATGACTGGGCAATATGAATAATGGATTCATGTAAAAATTTAAACTTCATTATTTATGACATTGTCTGGTCATTATAAATACTACTATGTTACTGTTGCGCAATTTTATACAACCTAACCTAACCATGTTAATCACTTTCAAGATAAGAAGACAATGTAACAAATCTGAAATTAACAAATATAAAAATGAGGAAGGAAAAACCACTTTGGTGTATCAAATAGCAACAAAGGGGGATTCCTTCCTTTGTGTTACAAAGAATAAACACCTTTGATGAAAATCTTTATTCCCCTTGTCTTTAATTAGTGAATATCTGACATTGAAAAAACAACTAAACTAACATATCTTTTTAGTTTAGTTTAGTTTAGTTTACGACGGGCTGTTTTCCGCAACTCCACGTCTATGCGCGTATTTTGCGTGTGGAACATATCTTTTTATTACTCTGCCCCAATAAGTAGTGGACTTTATTCATAGTTCTGTCAATTTAATTATTTCATTAGTTTTTATCATATTGCCTACTCATATTGAGCATTTTTCAAACTTGGTACATAATATATATACACATATTATATTTATAAGCAGTAGTACGGTACGGTTTAAAAAATTCATCACTCATTATCATTTTAAAGATTTTGTAAGAAAGAGGTGATAGGTGTAAATGAAAATAATTAAATCTCAACACTATCTAAGTCAGCATCTTATTTCGTGCATACTGTGATTGTCCAAAATAAAAAGAGCAATTAAGAACTAAATATAATTTACCTGTATTTGGCGTACGAGCGAGACCATCTGCGCGTACACAGGGTTCTCAACAGGCACAGCGTCTCGGAGGAAAGCTTCAGCGAGGGTTAGGATGACTCGCTGCGGCGAATTAGGTGTGGCCAGAGCTGGGTGTCCGCTCGCCGCCAACTCGCACAACAGTGAGTATACATGAGGTGCTTCTTCAACGTCTTCAACCACTGGTAGCCATGTTAACCTTTAAATATGTTAATTTATTGAAATAATTTAGAAAGTTCATTTATTATAGCAGAGTTTATGTCCTATGACTTCCAAAAGAAATATCTAAACCTATATTAACACTTTCAGCTACCTGCTACTCAGATCTATGTCTGTTTTGTAACTCACACATTCCTGTCCTATACAAACTACAAAGTGATATTGTATGTTTTGGTATTTTCTGTATTTTATACAAGCTAAGATATATATTAATTAAGTATAATACTTTTAACCATGTCACATTACATGTTTTTTTGTTTACTAGTGTTGAGAGTATGATCAATTGAGATCTTTCAAGTTTGATATGCTAGCTAAGCTAGTCTTTGCCAGAGATCTGTCTGCCAGAAAGAGCCAACTGTCGAAGCTGAAGACCGCGCGTGGCAGCGTCGTTTCCGGGACACCTGAGGTTTTGAGTGAGATTAAGAGGTTCTATGGTCAGCTGTACACATCATCGTTGGAGCCTCATGCAAGTGTGAGTAACGATCCAAAAGCGAGTCTTATCCGACACTATTCCGATGATATCCCGGACGTCAGTCTGAGCGAGATTAGAATGGCTCTCCAGCACCTTAAAATGGCGAGGCCCCAGGCGAGGATGGAATTACAGCAGAGCTTCTGAAAGCGGGTGGAAAACCGGTACTTGAAGTCCTTCAGAAGCTCCGATTCGTAATGACTATCGCGCGCATACTTGACGACTTCCAGCCTCCTCCGATTCGTAATGACTATCGCGCGCATACTTGACGACTTCCAGCCTCCCGAACACGCCGGTTTCCGAAAGGGCTTTAGCACCATAGACCACATACATACCCTTCAGCAAATTGTACAGAAGTCCGAAGAGTACAATTTGCCACTATGTCTGGCGTATGTGGACTATGAGAAAGCCTTTGATTCCGTCGAAATTTGGGCGGTGCTGCAGTCCCTTCAGCGGTGCCAAGTTGGCTGTCGGTATATCGAAGTGTTGAAGTGCTTGTACAGTAGGGCTACGATGACTATCAGAGTACAGAACCAGAGTACGAAACCTATCCAATTGCAGAGAGGTGTAAAACAGGGTGACATAATATCCCCGAAACTTTTCACCGCTGCATTGGAAGACGTATTCAAGCTTCTAGACTGGAAAGGATATGGTATCAACATCAATGGCGAGTACATCACTCACCTTCGATTTGCCGACGATATAGTCCTCATGGCAGAATCGCTGGAGGACCTAAGCACTATGCTCAATGACCTTAATAGTGCTTCCCAACGGATAGGTCTTAAGATGAACATGGACAAAACAAAGATCATGTTTAATGTCCATGTCACACCTATGCCGGTAGTTGTTGGGAACACTAAGCTCGACGTTGTCCAACTTCGACCGAGAGGTCAATCGACGGATTCAACTCGTTTGGGCAGCGTTCGGGAAATTACGGCACATCTTCTCATCAGGTATACCTCAAAACTTGAAAACGAGACTGTACACCCAGTGCGTGTTGCCAGTGATGACATACGGAACTGAGACATGGTCCTTCACTGCTGGCCGGATGAGGAAGCTCAAGGTCGCTCAGCGAGCTATGGAGAGGGTTATGCTCGGAGTTTCTCTGCGTGATAAACTCAGAAATGAGGATATCCGCAGTAGAACCAGAGTAACCGACATAGCCCAATGGATTAGTAAGCTGAAGTGGCAATGGGCCGGCTATATAGCTCGAAGAACCGACAACCGATGGGGAAAAAAGGACCTGTTAAGATATGCAGGAAGTCGATGGATGTAGGTGGCTCAGGACCGTGCTTTGTGGCATTCCTTGGGGGAGGCCTATGTTCAGCAGTGGACTTGTGAAGGGCTGTAATGATGATGATGATGATGCTAGCTAATGCTTTTCATGGAAATGTAAGTTTATTGAGCAATGAATTCAGAAAGATTGCTGTTTACTCATATGACCTGGTTTACAGTTAAAAAAGTTCATAGTACGATCATTTCGAAAAAAAAAACTGCTTCCGTAACTACATGCTATGCATACAAAATGCATATAAAAACAAATTGCAACAGGTCACAAAATGTTACTTGGCTATACCATTCACAAAACCATACACATAGGTGACCACAACAATTTAAAATGAAACTGTTTGCCAAACTGAAAGATGTTGTATGTAGTGGGTATTTTTTACGCACCAGTGCGTGATGAGTTGGTCCCTGTCGACCTGCGAGTGGTTGTACTTGATGATCTTGGCGACCGCGGAGATGGCGTTCTCTGTGGCGTTGAGGTTTTCGATGGAGCGTGCGTCGGGCGCGGCGACCACGTCGGCCAGCAGGCGCGCGGCGCGCGCGCAGGCGGGCGCGAACTGCGCGCCGCCGAACTGCGCCAGCACGCCGCAGCCGTACGCCGCCGCCTGCCGCACCTCCGCCTCCGCCGCCGTCAGCCCGCTCAACATCGGCTCCAGGAAGATGTCCTGGTACTTCACGCACGCCGGCCCTGCCACCCACATTATAATCTCTAAAACTACAGCTACATTATGGTTGTAGCACGAATGGGTCGGCTCGACCGGGGAAGGACCACGCTCTCACAGAATATAAGCATAAAATAGGAGCTTAACCCTTTCGCTGTCCCATGCACTACATATAGTGCATTGCAATTCTCTTACTATTGTATCTGAAAATGTGGCAGTGAAGGTGTTAATACTGCTGTGTTTCGTATAGTAAGAGTAGAGAACCGAAGACACTTTATACTTACTGGAAACAAGAAACTATTGTATTTGAAATTCGGACAGTGAAAGTGTTAATACTGCTGTGTTTCATATAGTGAGAATAGACAACCAGAGACCCTTTTTACCCGTTCTCAGGGGTGGACAGTACATGTCTGCATATTGATCCTTAACTGAGGATAGATGTAGATGTCTATAGGCCACAGCATCCACTTGCCATCAAGTGGACTGTGTTCTCGTTTGTCACCCTTAATTATGAATTTACATACTTAAACAAACATGGCTTGTGAATGATTACATTCACAAAGCTAAAACAAGATGGAGAAATGTGAGTGTACAGGAGTGTACCAACTATCATCGTGGGACCCTTTGACTTGGACACAATAACAGACACGGAGTGGACAACAAGAAAAGAAGGCCGAGGCCCACTGAAGCGAAACAAGCGCTTCCATTTTCGTGATGTCTCATCAAGAGTGTATTTGCCATAATATACTTTTCTTCTTTCATATCAATCAGTAACAACTGGAACCCTCCCATTATATAAAGGATTAGATATAAGCTATACTAGGGAGGTTTATAATGTTGAAGTGTTATGTCACCTCTTACTACACCTACGGAATGATATACAGGGGTAGTGCATATTCTCACTCTTTAAGGAATTAATTTAACGAAACAAACAATCATTTCATCATTATTGAAGTACACACCTCTAAGCAATACAAGTGGTTCGACAGATTCAGAATTATAAAAATATTCTTACCTCCAAACTCAATGACGTCATCAAAAATGCAAATGGCCCATTGTCTATCAGCATAAGGACGGCCTGGAGCCAGAAGTTGAACGAGATGCGGCAATAAGGAGTCTAAGTGCGGGAAGAAGTTTTCGCGGTAAGCAGACATGAGAGCGTGTAATACATCAGCTACCCGGGACAAGCCATATACATCTTCATTATCCTCATCAGCAAGCTGCTCTTCAACAACCTGTTGTAAGAAATTTTTAATTTAAGATTCACTTTTTAATAGACTTCAAAAAAAGATGGAGGTATTCAATTCAACTGTTTTTCTTTTGTGTGTTACCTTAGAACTTTTTTCTAGTTGAATTGATTTTGATGATTCTTTTTTTATTTGAAAGCTGGTGCTTCTCATATAAATTTGATCAAGATCTGACTAGTAGTTTTTGAGTTATCCTCAGTAATGGGTAATTAATTGACTTTGACTAAATTGATTATGTTTTCATTTTATTTATATTGAAGTCAGTTGAACAAAATCTGGGGACACAGCAGTGCCCCCCCGCCAAGTCGAGCAAAAAAGCGTGTTTAAAATAAATAAATTGACTTGGCAATCGCACTAAACAATCTAATTTAATATAATATGTATTACTTCAGAGATACATTGTGTGGCCAAGTCAAACTATTTATTTAAAATATAAAAGATTTTTAGTATTGATGTGGTGACTATAAGATGTTGTTAAGTTACCCAATTACGTAATAACTTAAGACTGAATTAATTAACCGACTTGGTATTACATGGATCTCACAACTTTTTATGGTAGAACTGAGTTGCGAGACGTGGTTTTGTTGTTATGAGCCCAAGCGGTTGGTGGCTTGAGATAAATTTTATGACCAAATTCATATCATAAAAGTTACAAAATTAGACAATATAAAATATTTCCTAAATGGATTCTATGTTCTGGAATCTGGAATCAAAATTCACAACTCTGCTATGCATGCACGTCTTTGAAATATTTAATTTTTCAGACATATGGATTTCCTAGTTCCATAGTAAATCAACACTTAAAATTGCCATTTGACAATTTCATTGGTGCTCACAGAGTTTGAACCCAACTAGGGTTGCGTGTGTACAAATTTACAATGAGCACTTAACTCCTTAGCTACCACATCTTTATAACTTAACAAAAATAATTCAATAATTTAACAAAAGTCTAATTCAAACTTAAAACTACAAAAAGTTTAATGAATCACCTCGTCATAATCCTCATCGGCGCGCTTCTGACGTCGTTCAGTAGCCCTTTCAAAATGCTCTGTAAGTAGTTTGTTGAGAATGCGGAGGACTTCTGCCATACTCTCGTCAGTTAAGCAACCAGTGCCCAAAAGCTCAATACACTGCAAAATAACACTCATTACAAATCAAAATCATTTATAACGAATAGATATACATATTCTAGTTATAAGAAACTTTATGTCCATTAGGGAATCGAATTCTAAGTGCTATGCAATCTTTTCAATACTTTTGAATTTTAATTTTGCAAATAACAATAATAATTAAATAAGCCGTACTTATGTAATTTCATTTCTAAATAATAATTATATAATTAAGAAAAAATAAAAAACAGTCATAAGTTAATTTTTAATCACTTACTTTAGCCAAGCTATTTAAAAGTTCCACTTGCACCTCTTGTTCAGGTTCAGAATCAATTGCTTTTAACAACTCAGGCAGAATGTATGCCCACATGCCTTGTATGTACTGTGGGCCACGTGTACGGGCGCATTCCAACAAGTATGGTAGAGATTCTGCTGCCGCTGTGCGCACATTGTCGTGGAAGTAGAACTTGAGCATTGGCACCATTAGTTTAACTACATCTTCGGCGTAATCAGCGAATGCCTCTTTTAATTCGCGAGCGTAACATACGAGCATATCACAGGCAGATGCTTTGTCTTCCAAACCTAAATGAATAGTTTAATATTTAAAGGCTAGAATTGATTATAGCTTTACTGTATTTTACGTTTAGATAAATCAGTAAAATTTTTTGTCTGATATAGAAATTTTCTTTAAATAGAATTTTATTTGCAGTAATTTATTTAAAAGATGTAAAGTAATTTGAAATAAATAAAAGAGATTATATACAGGTACTTGCCGGCAGTTTTGATACCAAAGTTCTGCTGTTCACCGAGAGTGACGAAGTGCCAGTCAAGATCACCTTCAATGCTCTTGATTTCATCATTGTCAAGTAAGGCCACTTCTGGTTTCATGGCTGCTGTACGCATTACTGGTTCCATAACCATGGGCAGGTATCGGGCGAATTTCTTGCCTGATAATTACAAGGATGTACTGTTATTATTCCACACATAATTGAACCAAAAAGAAATTGTTTTACATATTATGAGGGTTTTACCCATAATTCTGCAAATTCGTGACCAGGCAGAAATAAGGAATGATGTTTGAGGGTCATCAGGAGGCAACTGTTCACCCTCTGTATGAGTTTTTAACAAAAGGTCCATTACTTCTGAAGCATCTGACATGAATTTCTCTTCACCTACAGCAAGACCTAAAAAATATATAAGAAATAAATAAATGCCAGTAAATGACAATCAAATTAATATATGATAAGGGTTAGTAAATGAATTACTGTAATAAAAAGTTTGTATAATAAAAGGTAATATTATTCCACCTTTATTAGACCAATGTCTATAAAAACAATTAGTTGCATAACAACAACTTGCAAAAGTACTGTTAACAACTAGAATGTTGTCTAAATAGTTTACAATAAAATCTTCTTTCTCTATTTTTCTACCCTTTGAGATGCGAATTTTTAATTTAAATTTATATGGGACCATCCCTGAAGCATAAATTATTATTAATATACTTAATTTGGTTCAGCAAATTCGAGAAATTAGTGAATATATAAAAAAAAATACTATAACAAAGCATAATAAAGAAGCTCACCTATAAGACTGACACATTCAATTGTTTTGCCACGTAGAGTTTTTAATTCCTCAGTAGTAGCATTAGCAATAATATATTTTAAACAGGGCATCAAGCGATCATAATATTGTACAAAGTCCTTTTCCACTGTATCAGCGACAGAAGCAATGGTAGTCACAATTTGTTCAAGCACAAGCTTTGTGCCTCGTTCCACTAACTGCAATATAAAAAAAAAATGCATAATATTACTAATTCGAAATTTTTGTGACTCTTTAAACACGTTAAATCAATATTTATGTATGTGAACTGAGATCCCTGACTTTCTATAGAACAGAGAGAAAGGGAGCAATTGACACATTTACTTTGCCAATGTTATGGAGGTGACAAAATCAGACATGAAATGGTCACTAACGAACATTGGGTGAGTATGTTTAGTTGTGTTATAAAAATGCAATGGGTAGTAATTCCGGCAGACTACGAAATTTCTAAATATCAACAATCATAAGCATAACATTTTTACAATATGTAATTCATTTATCATTAAAAACACAGGTGGCCTTGCAATAAAATTATATTGTAATGTAAAGGTCATAAATCATTATTTTTTAATCATCAAGTTTCTTTATTTTTTTGAATTCATTTTATATTGATATATGCATTTAGCATTTTTGTAACATGAAATGGTCACTAACGAACATTGGGTAAGTATGTTTAGTTGTGTTATAAAAATACAATGGGTAGTAATTCCGGCAGACTACGAAATTTCTAAATATCAACAATCATAAGCATAACATTTTTACAATATGTAATTCATTTATCATTAAAAACACAGGTGGCCTTGCAATAAAATTATATTGTAATGTAAAGGTCATAAATCATTATTTTTTAATCATCAAGTTTCTTTATTTTTTTGAATTCATTTTATATTGATATATGCATTTAGCATTTTTGTAACATGAAATGGTCACTAACGAACATTGGGTAAGTATGTTTAGTTGTGTTATAAAAATACAATGGGTAGTAATTCCGGCAGACTACGAAATTTCTAAATATCAACAATCATAAGCATAACATTTTTACAATATGTAATTCATTTATCATTAAAAACACAGGTGGCCTTGCAATAAAATTATATTGTAATGTAAAGGTCATAAATCATTATTTTTTAATCATCAAGTTTCTTTATTTTTTTGAATTCATTTTATATTGATATATGCATTTAGCATTTTTGTAACATGAAATGGTCACTAACGAACATTGGGTAAGTATGTTTAGTTGTGTTATAAAAATACAATGGGTAGTAATTCCGGCAGACTACGAAATTTCTAAATATCAACAATCATAAGCATAACATTTTTACAATATGTAATTCATTTATCATTAAAAACACAGGTGGCCTTGCAATAAAATTATATTGTAATGTAAAGGTCATAAATCATTATTTTTTAATCATCAAGTTTCTTTATTTTTTTGAATTCATTTTATATTGATATATGCATTTAGCATTTTTGTAACATGAAATGGTCACTAACGAACATTGGGTAAGTATGTTTAGTTGTGTTATAAAAATACAATGGGTAGTAATTCCGGCAGACTACGAAATTTCTAAATATCAACAATCATAAGCATAACATTTTTACAATATGTAATTCATTTATCATTAAAAACACAGGTGGCCTTGCAATAAAATTATATTGTAATGTAAAGGTCATAAATCATTATTTTTTAATCATCAAGTTTCTTTATTTTTTTGAATTCATTTTATATTGATATATGCATTTAGCATTTTTGTAACATGAAATGGTCACTAACGAACATTGGGTAAGTATGTTTAGTTGTGTTATAAAAATACAATGGGTAGTAATTCCGGCAGACTACGAAATTTCTAAATATCAACAATCATAAGCATAACATTTTTACAATATGTAATTCATTTATCATTAAAAACACAGGTGGCCTTGCAATAAAATTATATTGTAATGTAAAGGTCATAAATCATTATTTTTTAATCATCAAGTTTCTTTATTTTTTTGAATTCATTTTATATTGATATATGCATTTAGCATTTTTGTAACATGAAATGGTCACTAACGAACATTGGGTAAGTATGTTTAGTTGTGTTATAAAAATACAATGGGTAGTAATTCCGGCAGACTACGAAATTTCTAAATATCAACAATCATAAGCATAACATTTTTACAATATGTAATTCATTTATCATTAAAAACACAGGTGGCCTTGCAATAAAATTATATTGTAATGTAAAGGTCATAAATCATTATTTTTTAATCATCAAGTTTCTTTATTTTTTTGAATTCATTTTATATTGATATATGCATTTAGCATTTTTGTAACATGAAATGGTCACTAACGAACATTGGGTAAGTATGTTTAGTTGTGTTATAAAAATACAATGGGTAGTAATTCCGGCAGACTACGAAATTTCTAAATATCAACAATCATAAGCATAACATTTTTACAATATGTAATTCATTTATCATTAAAAACACAGGTGGCCTTGCAATAAAATTATATTGTAATGTAAAGGTCATAAATCATTATTTTTTAATCATCAAGTTTCTTTATTTTTTTGAATTCATTTTATATTGATATATGCATTTAGCATTTTTGTAACATACTGTTACTGTTACAGCCTATTAATGTCCACTGCTGAAGACAGGCCTCCCCCATGTTCAGCAGGTGACTGCATTATTAATTATTTAATATTTGTGTTTAGATGGTATTCAGCTGAATAAGAGACACTTGAAATGGTCAGATAATGATAATAACCAAATATCCTATGTGCAATTAACTTTTAGATAAACCACAATATTTAATTGTAAATCCCATTGAAAGGAGGACATGCTATTATGTATTGAAGCTATTTTTACCATATATACTAATTTAAAAAAATCAACTTACTTCTTTGAATTTGGCAGTCAAAATTACTTCAAGCTTGTTCATCAAAGGACCAAGATATTGAGTTAGAATAGGTTTTGGACAATCCTCACTAAAGTTCACCAAAGCAGCTGCTGCATGAGCCTATGTGAAGACATAATCTTAAATTAAAAAAGAAAAAAAATATATAATAAATAGAAATTAATTGTAGTTAGTTTATAATACTTTACCTGCACGCGTGGATTGGCATTATCATCCAGAACTAACAAAAGACCAGGCACAACTTTACTGTGGAATTTCTTTTCAAAAACAGGGGCAAAATCTGTTGACATTTGTCCAATTGCATTGCACGCTGCATAGCGAACACGAGGATGCTACGGATGAAAAACTTAATGTATAAAATAAAAAATATTTTAGTGTTATTGGAAATGAATATAATGTATAATAAATAAATAATGCGATCAAAATGCGAATGACTTTCCACAATATTGTGGCATCTTAGCTGCCAATATAAACAGGATAGTTAAAATAAGCAAAACAGACATTTTGATTAAAAAAAAAATATTTAAAAAGAACCATTAATTTAATATCTCAAACCATTAGTTTAATAGAACATAAATTTATGTAGGTATCTATAATATACCACTGACTGTTATTTAAAAAAAAGTGTATAATTCCCTGTGCTTAAAATAAAACTAAATTTGTCTTAATTGTCTTCAACATCACCCTTGCATGTATCATTTTTTATTATTTTAAAAACCAACTAAATCTTTAATAGATTTTGACAATACTCTAAGATTTAGTTAAATACAAAGTATATAAAAAATTTGTGTTTCTATTCTTATCTTGATCGCATAATATGTTGAATTAGTAAGACTGAAACTAACTTACAGGGTCAGTTAAATAAGTAAGAACGGCAGATACAACTTGGTCTAACATCTGTTCCATTTGCTTGTGACAACCTTCACCAGCTGAGGAGACAGCCATGAGTGCTGCATGTCTCTTTCTCCAGTCTTCGGAGTTTAACATCTCAGGTACTTGACCCACAATCAAACTCAACATAATTTTGCCTCCAAGACCACAACACATGCGATCCAGAGCAGACTCTGCTGTTACGTAATTCCTAAAATGTTTCATTATATTACTATGGTGCTAGTGCTATAGATAATTACAGGTTTTATTTCCCAATTTACCAGGTTTTCCTTCATTATATAAAAATATTGTAATTGAGGGACTGACATCCAAATATATTAAATATATATTGAATGCTAATTATCTCAATACTTCCTCTTGTAAGATTTACTTTAGCAAAAATATTTGAAGATACTTAAGCTAAATTATGTAAATCTTACTACAAATTTATTCACTATGAGCAAGAGATTATACACCAGTTATTAATGTCTGCTTTAAGTGAGCAATTCTTGTATAAATTACAATAAAAATTGTTTTATTGGTTTGGAAGACATTCTGTATTTAGATAAGGTGTCATCCCTGAGTATTTTTTTTTCTAATGCCATAACAAATATTTTTCGCTCAAGTACTTAATTTATTAAATAGTAAAATAAAATAGCATATAAGACAAGGTTCGAAATTTAACTATGTGTTGAATCAAGATGCTGAATTTGATCAGATTGAAAATTGAAATTGATATGCTGGTAATAACAAGTTTAGAAGTAAAAGAGTAATGTAAGAAGCAATAAAAAAATTGGCACTCACAAATCATTATCGTCATCAGCGACGTCGTCTTGCACGGCCCAATCGGGCTCGTCGTCAAGCTCACACATCATGGCGAGGACAAGGGGGGTTAGTCTACGAATTGCTACTGGGACTTGCTTGCGAACCATAGCTGGAGCAGTCTCACATAGAGTAACTAATGCTTCCAGTGCCAATTGACGCCAGTTGTCATCTGCGTCAGTGTCACCAACAACCTGTACATGAATATAAAGCACATATGATTTGATACATTGAATTGGAATGAGAAAAGTCAGTGCTGAATACTCATATGCTATTTGAACTTTATACTATTGATTGTACATTTTGGGAAGTTATGTAATCAATGTTTTTAATGTCCTTGGTACACTAGTTGCAGCCATTTAGCTAACTCTTTTCTAACCAAAACAATAATAACTACATGCAGCTGCCAATCCCTTACATTAATTATAAACACACTAGATTATGTACAAACTAAAAATAAGGTAATTGTTGTTTTCGATTTTGCTATAGATGGCTCTATGTGGCACCAATTTTGTTTCTTTGGGGAGCAGCTTATTTGTTTCCTTCATTTCAAAATGGAAAATAGTTATAAACACAAGCTGTTAGAACTTCAAGTTTAATCAAAGTCAGCATAACAAGGTGAATAAAGTGATTAGTATTGTTATTATACTTATTATCTTCACTGATATGGTTTTTTTTATTAAGTCATTGCATTACATAATTATAAAGATCCTATTGAAATACAAACCTTAATACCAACTTCAAAGATCGTCTCAAGCTGTGGGCGTAAGAACTTAGGTGCTGACTCAGCAAGTTCAATCAGAACTTTTAAGGCAGAGTCATCATCTGACTTCTCAATGGACTGAACAACTACCTGTAAATTTATAACAATTTGATAAATACAGATTGAAATTTTTTTAACTAAATATTGACTTTGGATAAAAGAATTGTATTGAGGGCTACTATCAAACTCAATCCTATTAACAGGATAGTGTTAGCGAAATCCTCAATGTAATTTTCTTTTGCACATCTTGGCAATAGCACTAATCATAAAGATAAGTGCATGTATGTGTTAATGTGCTTAACATTTAAGCTAAAGTATAAGTAAATATATTTTTTAAATGTAACAACCCCAATAATATTACTAAAATGAAAAAATGTTAACAGATTAATTTATTAATAATATTATATTGTGAGGCAATTGCTCCTGTATTGTAGCATCATATGCTAATAATAGTGATATTAAGCAATATATTATTTAAAACACACATATATCAAAAAACAACTAACTTGCATGAGTGGTAGCAATAAGTCACCAAAGTGTTTCTGTATGGCAGGCTCCTTGTCATGCAAAAGAATAAATGCACCAACAGCTTTTACTGCCTGCATACGTAAGGCCTCCGACTCCGTGGGCTGTAGTGATGACAACAACATTTGTTTGATGACATCCAAGTTCTCATTTTGTCGGTTCCCAAATACTCCTGGCACAGATCTGGTAATCCAATAGGTTTAATTATCAATATGACTTAAAAAATTGCAAAAATTGATATCTACATTAATTTTCTAAGAATGATTTCTTTTTCATTCAAGCAATTTACAACAACATCATTTTATAATTATAAATATATACAACTAGTGGGATGCGGGAAGTAAAGACTGTGTAAGAAACTCTGAAGGAGGTGGAGTTATAGCCGAAATAAGAATTCTCAAATTTTTGGTTTTTGGCCATTTTGACTTGAGTAATGACAACTTTTTGCCCCTATTCAACCATGAGCCCCATGACATCCTCTACATGATAGGCTATTCAAACTGACTATGCCTAAATTTACAACAACATCATTTTATAATTATAAATATATACAACTAGTGGGATGCGGGAAGTAAAGACTGTGTAAGAAACTCTGAAGGAGGTGGAGTTATAGCCGAAATAAGAATTCTCAATTTTTTGGTTTTTGGCCATTTTGACTTGAGTAATGACAACTTTTTGCCCCTATTCAACCATGAGCCCCATGACATCCTCTACATGATAGGCTATTCAAACTGACTATGCCTAAAGTTCGAACCATCTGCCAATTTTATAGTTTTTGACCATTTAGACCCCCTCGAGAACTTTTTGCCTTATTCAATCATGACCCCCATGACATCCTCTACATGATATGCTATTCAAACTGACTAGGCCTAAAGTTCAAGTCACCCCCCCCCCCCCCCAACTCATTTCTAGTCTTTACTTCCAATAAATTATTAAAATTTTCTATAATCCTAAAAAGCATACAGATATAAATTTGCAACATATAATACAAAGAAAAAGGTTTTATGAATAGTTTCTATGATTACAAAAAATCAAAAAAGAATAAATTTAATAGTTTATAATTATCATTGAATATACAATTGTGTATTGGTAGCAAGAATAGAATAGATTTTTTTTTATTCAATATAGAATCTTACATAATTATTGAGTCATTTTTTTATTTGATTCCACAATTCCTTATCCTATGGATATTGTAAGAAGTGACAGAGGGAAACTGAAATGGGAGATGAGCAGCCATCTATCTGATAACAGCTCAATCATAATTAAAAAAAAATTGCAGACAAAAATTTTTTTTTGCCAAACTATCTGCCAAACGTTGCAATTATGGCAAATATCCTCCCTGTGAGACAATATATGGGGGATTAATCTGTGAGCACAAGAAACAACTTACGTAAACATCCTAATACCAGCCTCTTTGATATTGGGGTCCTGAGAACTTGCACAGTGAAACATAAACTGAAGGAATTCTGGCCATTGGTTGACTCCATCATCATCTATGTGATTTCTTGCAAGTTCTGACACAACATCACATATCTAGAACATTAAAAACACACAAACATACACAAGGTTATGTTACTCATGCTTTTCAATAGTGCGGATGTGAGTCACAATATGTGTTAATACAAGGATAGGTCAAAGTAGTAATGCTCATCCAATTGAGTGACTCATTATCAGTATACTTTAAACTATAGTAAAGTTATAGTAAAGTTATAGGAATGAGAGGAGGTCTAGGCACACTACTGGGCCTTGACCTCCTCTCATTTCTGAGAGGATTTTAGTAGGACAAGGGAATGTCTGCCACACTACCCCAATGCATGTTGGTAGACTTGTCCTCAAATTATGTTTTCCCACACATACAAGTTCACTCACAATGTTTTCCTTCAATGCTACATATGGTATCACCACATTATACTATCATCTGAAATACAGAAGGTACCCTCTTAATTGATAGTAAGGAATGTGTTCTTACCATTATGGGAGATTACTAGGTTTCCTAAAAGATGAGTATTGTCTAAAGGTGTGTTCTTTTTGCACAACAATACACCAAGGCACTTGAGCCTTGTTACAATATCGACTATTCACTGACATGGTTGTAAACAATTTCCATAGATGGAGACAGCAAAAAATTTACAATGAAGTGATTAATTTTCATTAGGCCAAAATTGCAAATGAAGTCACATTGACAATTTTGGACTAATAAAATTTAATAAATATTTTAATTGTATTAAGATGTTTTTAATAGATTTGTAATATGTGTTAGGGTTAGGGGAAAACACATTGAAAGGGAAACAGTAAAATTTTTTTTTTAACCTTTTTCCCTGTCATTCCTCTTGAGCATACTAAGTATAGTAGTCTTTCAGGGATTATGTGCATTATAGAAGCTAGTAAGTAGAAATTAATGTTTATAAAAAATCTGTTATTTATTTTAAATGAAGTGTTTGAAGGAGTATTAAGATTCCATTTTTACCTAAGCTATTATTAGAAAAACTATGATTCCAGCTATTTTATACAGTGTAACAGTAAAATGAAGTTAAATGCGTTATATATATAAAGAAATTTGTCTTACAAACCTTGCGCCGTAGTTGCTGGCTTACATTCATCTGTAGTGTAAGAAGCAACTGTTCTCTAAGCATAGTCTGCTGGTCAAATGGCAGTTTCGGGAAGAACTCAAAGAATTCTGCACTGAGCAACCTCCGCAACAACACAGCTGCAGTCTGCCTAGCCTCCTCACTAATATCTCCATTTTGAATAGCTCCCACTAAATGCACCACCTTTGTCTCAGTAGGTATGTTGTTATAAGCATCCTAAATAAAGCACAGCAAATGTCACTATATTTTTTGTTTAACACATGAATTTATGAAACATAATTTGATTTAGGCAATTGGACATTTCTAAAAATAAAACACGGTACAATATAAAAAATTACACACATGAAGATAATACAAATATACAATCAAAATTAAGTCAGTATTTATTTGAATACAATGAATTTTAGAAAACCAACATTTTATGCAGAAGTCATATAGTAGAAAATAATCTGTATCGGTAGATTATTGAATACAAGCACTGCGCTGACTAACCGCATGCCTGAACCTAGAAGTTCCGCTTGTTTTGAAAAAAGTGCGTAATCAGCATAATATACTTCTTCACGGTACTATATTCCAGTAAAGCTTAGGCAAACAATGTTAGATTTAAATAAGCTAACAAATTATACTGCACATCCACCATGACCACGTTTTGACACGAGGCCACAACCCTTCGTTTTCACAGATACTACGTCGTAAAATAACATTTTTTTTTAATAAAATGTATAGAAACATAAATTATTAAAAAATACTTACTTCTGCTTGCTGTCGGATGTCATTATCTGTAGACAATAATGTATTTAATAATTGGTAAAACTGCGCTTGATCTCCTGCCATGTTGAACTTCTTCAAAAAGACCCGTTTTTTTTTTTCAATTAAATTAAATGCGGCCGGTCACTGTTCCATTGTGTTGCCAGTATTATTCAAATATTTGAAAACCGGTATAGGTAATAGATGTTAAATTGAAACTACATCTTCTATTATACGTTGTACCAAGAAGTAAAATAAATATATAATCACCAAAATAAAATTTTATATACAGATACTAAAGATAAAAGGGGTTTAGGGTAGAACCTCAAAGTATTAAGATATTTATGAATACATAGAAGAAACTATATAAAAAGAATCAATGTACATATTTCATGGTTTTGGCAGAAACTTGACCGGCGGCGGATTGCTGCTCCTATATTATTTTTTAAATAATGGTTTGAAGTGGATTTTGATATGTAAAAGTGTATTAAGTTAAAGTTAATTATTTTGTGTATTAAGTGTCTGCGCATTTGAACTATTAGTGGAAATAGTGAAAGAAGTGTTCTGGCACAGAGTAAAGAGTAAGGACCAGAGGGGAAGCTTCTTAAAAACGTCGAAAATGTATACCTATTCTGATAGGGTTGTCACATGACGCATGTGAAAAATTTAAGGAAAAAATAAAAATATTGTATAGCATAAGACATCATATGTATTAATTATAACTTATATTAATGTAACAACATATCTATTAATTGTTCGAAATCAAGAGTATTGGTGTAAGTGGTGGTGGTGATAGTAATGGTTGTGATGGTGGTCGTGGGCAGTGGCGGTGGTGGTGGTGGTTATAGTAATGGTGGTGATGGTGGTGGTGTTGATGGAGCCACTGTTGGTCCACTGTCTACTACAACTACCTACGATACTACCACCTCCACCACCACTGACACCATCAGCAAAACTATCGACCAACACCAGCACCACTTCCACCAACACCAATCCACCACTCCCACCAACGTATTCCAATCGTAATGCAGTGGTATTTACTCCTGGGGTCGCAACTCACAAAAAGTAGCTTATATCCTTCACAAAGAAGCAACTTACCTCTAAAGTGGGTAGGTAGGATATCCTGCCATCTACGGCACTGTCAAGGTTAGACTGACTAACGTTTCAAGTAGGTGAGACCGACTTCATCACTCGGTGACGTACCTGTCTAACACATTGTCACTTACTTATCAATGTTATTACCTAGTTTTATTGTATATTATTAAATACGTAAAACGGTACTTACTTCACTTGATTTCTCGGGTACAAAAAAAAGGAAATATCCTTATTTTCTCTAGAATTATTCATGCATACCGTACGACTATTAGGCATTTTTGCTTATACAGAACACTTATTATTTACCCATATAAATTTATAATAACTTAATTCTTAATTATTTTAATTAAAATACTTAAATCTAATTATTTAATAATTGCAAAAAAACTTAATAAATTAATTGATGTATAAAATTTCGAAATATTGTGAGTCTATTTATTTAAATGCGCACGACTAACAAACAGCCCTTTCATGGATACTCTGACTGAGCCGGCGCAAACCAGTTTGTACCCCGACGGAGCGTCGTTGAACCTGTCGGTGAGAGCTCACGCACACATCTCTGCGCTATGTATGGGTGTGTTCGTAGCGAGCCGTTTGTATGTAGCTTCCCCTTTGGTCGGTTTCTTTACTCATGTGGTTCTGGTGCTGATGTGATTCTCAAGATAAGGTGTCTGTCTGCTTAGGCGCCTTGATACCAACGCCAACTGTCAGCTGTCTGCTGGCTCAAGTTAACGTCAAAATCTCCCAAGGGCTGCACAATGTTACGCATCAACATATTGTGAAGCAGTGTACTATAAAGGATAATTACACATTGTAACTTTAGGCTCAGAAGGCCTAGAACCCAGAGCTGGAAAGCCAGTTAAAAAATTGTATATATTTCACCTTCGAGCCATAGACATAGTATCTTATCTATCTACGCTTCGAGCATGAAGTTATAGATAAAGATGGAGGCCACACTTGGAACAACAGCTTGAGTCAAATACCTACGTATCTTTATCTCACTCTCTGTGGTCTGACTTCTCTTTTTAGTGGGGAACACAATATTGCTATGTTTTTATTTGAATCTCCCGGTAAATTCTTAGAAATAATTTCCACACTAACTAAATCAGAAGTTAAGCTTTGTAAAATAATGTACCAATAAATAAATAGTTGATCTACGATTAGTTAAATTAAAAATTCCAAAATTGAAGGTCTCGTATGCATTATTGGGTTCACGAATCAGTGAATTACAATCCCATTTCCTAAGGGTTCGGTAATGTGGCCACATTAGCCCTATATGTCAACATAAATTAGACAAATATTTAAAGTTAATTATTGTTATAATTCAAGAAATGGTGCAAACTTGTGTAGTACGTGGTTGCGGCAGTAGTTGTTGTCCAGGAGGTGATATAAGATTTCACACGTAAGTGTTTAAATAGTGACTTCTGACATTGAATACTTGTAAACATACTTTTTATATTTTCACTAAATTTTTTGCTGAACGTTTTATCAGTGTTTTAAACATACTATTAAATTATAACTTTGTCAAAATCAAATAGTTTTACATTGAATTTAATTAAGTTTGAACAATTTTATTGTTTTTGTTTAAAAGAAATCGCACTGAAGTAGTGTGACCATATTGACGATGTATCTGAGACATTCCGTGTGACCTTAACTAATTATATGTACATGTTTCTTATTATGTTACCGGAAATGCATGAAATTTAGGAATTATGTACACTTCCTATATATTCTATATAATGACGGATTTCATAGGTTTCATAATATTAAATTAAAAATTAAATATATTCTTTTGGTAGACAATTTATTTATTATTTAGTTTTTGTTTCTCATTATTCTGATACTTTAATAACGTTTATAATAATTATGTATTTAGAAATGTAGTAGTTTAGATGTATGATGTAAAGCAACATTTTGTAAAATATGTTATTATTTGCAGACAACAAGTGCTTTACATGAAGAGTCTATTGTGCAAATAGCTGCTCTGGCTGTACCAAGCACTAGTTCTGGCATTTATGAAAGTAGTTCTGCACTTAAGGAAACAGAAGTGAAATGTACTAGCTGTAATATTGAAGACCAAACTAGTAAAAAAACAATGTCGAAAAATTCTTGAAAATTTATGCAATCTTAACAAACTACCTGTAAGTTTCCTTTTACTTTATTACTAAATACATATCTGTTATTTGTATTTATTATGACTTTAATATTACATTACATAATGTATTATATAGCTTAAAACAAATACATATTTAAACTCTTTAGTGCCAATCGCAGTGTGGTAACCGTCACTACGACACTAAGCATAAAGCTTCTTCTTTGATGCTTCATTTATGCGTGCTCATGAAGGCGCGCTCCGGTGTATTATGTGTTACCTATTAAGTGATGTAAATTTGTACTGACATTATGATGTAGAAAAGTTACTTGTTTCTTTTTTTTTTTTGTTAGAGTTCTCTAATCTCTGAGCTATACCAGTCTGATTTGAAAATATTTTTTTGCATTTTTAAAACCAATTCTTCAGGAAGTCTATCTAACATCACGTAACGACCCTTATGAGCGGAGCAATACGATGTACGATGCAAAAAATACTGATTTCATAAAGTTTTCTTGTTTTCTTAGGTCAGCAGTGAATACGACGATCCCGCGAAGATTGATAGGGGCGTGCAAGTGAAAATAAAGTGTACTAAAGAAGAAATACTTGAGATGAAAACTAAGATTCTTAAGCAAAAAGTGGCGCGCCAAACTAAAAAATTCAGGATAGGTCTTCTTTAATAGACACTATTAAAAAGTATACGGGTCATTCAGAAATTGAAAATATTATTCAAGGGCGCTTTGCTCATATCTGTAAGGACTTCAAAAAGCCACAAAGTAATCCACATGTTGTGAAAAATTTCAATAAATAATTTTAATATGGAAAGTGTTTTTATTTATTTTTTAAGGTTTTTAACAAACCATGTAGTGGCGGTGTGAGAATATCCACTACCCCATATCGTACCGAGGGTGTTGTAAGAGGTGTCAGAGGGAAAATGAAACAGGAGATGGGCAGCGGCATCTTCCTGATAACAACTCAAAATAATAATATATTATCGTTCCTATTATAGTACATATGTTACTAGAAATCTATGAAATCCGTTATTATATGGAATTCCTAGGAATTGTAGATAATTCTTAAAATGAACTGGATGTGTGGAATATAGTATTATACACATTTCAGCTCAGAGCAGCCTGACTCGGATGGGTTAGGTCAGAAGGCTAAGGCAGGAGCTCCGCTACGCTGCTTTAGTCCTCATGATATTTTTTTTAAATAATTGTCCAGAAATAGATTTAGTCTGTCTGAACAATAAATCAGGTATATTTTGCCCAATTTATTGATAACCCCGGGTTATCAATGAATGGTTTATAATAAATTTTAATTTTATATTTCGTTGGTACCGTTTAGGAATTGTATACAATAACCAGAAAATACATTATCGAAATGGTAGTTATAAAATATTCTCTGATATATTTATTTTCCACATTTTCTAAATAGGCTCGGCATTATAAGGGTTGTGACGGAAATGCGTGGTCATATTTTAATACCGGTTCTGCCCATGGAAATGAAAACCTTTCTTCATAAAACTAGTCAATTCCCAAAAAAAAATTGTACAAAAATATATAATCTATATAGGCTAGATCATAGTAGTAAACAGAGATATAGATATTTATAAATAAAACTTAATGTAACTCAACTACTTATAGCGATATCCTGGGAAAAATAAAATAAAGGTTACCTACTTAGAAAGGGAGGGTCTGCCCACAGAGAGCGAGATAGTAATACATAAGTTAGGCTTCAAGTAGGTATTCGGAGTGTGGTCTCCATCTTTATCTATAACTTCATGGCTTCGAGCCGGTCTATGCTTCGAGCATAGAAAATATATTTAATGATAGTGTTTCAAGTTTTTTTAAACTGGCTTTACGGCTCTGGGTTCTAGCCCTTCTGAGCCGTGGTTCAAGCT